ACCCAATTAACAAAATTCACTTGCTGATTTATTGGGGAAGGGTATAAAAGTCTAAGGCGATTTGTGTTCTTAGCCTTATTTAGGCTTCGTTTTGCTGACCATTTGGAGGGGTATATTTCGTTTTTCTCATGGCTCTTGGGGCCATCATCACTATCGAATCTGGCTGCATGATTTCATTGCATTCATGATAAGCTCTTTATTCTAACAGTTTTCATTTTAATTGTTTAGTTCTGTAAAAAGGGGTAGTTAAGGAGAAAGATTTGGCGACATGAATGGCTAAAATCATGATTTTAGCATAGGATTGAATCGCATTGGCTATTAATTATATTTGCTTTTTTGAATAAAACTTTATTGTAAAGAATATAATGATAATACTTAGCAAAATTAAGAATTGTCTTAATTTGTTCTCTTGTATCTCATTCTTCATTTAATCCAATCTAAATTTTTTATCCAGTATTGCGGCATTTATTAATTTCTATAATCTTATTTAAGACAAATTTTAATTTTTCATCCTGCACTTTGTTTTTCATGCAAATGCTTTTATCATTGTCTTTTTCAAACGACTTGATACCAGGTTCGATTAGATATTCCCTGTGAGCCTAAAGGCAGAACTAAAAATAGACCAACGACTGAATCACATTCTTTAGCTTCAGATCTAACAACTGGAATCAGTGGCGACGATGGCATGGGCAGGGGTGTTGATGGTGACGATGACGATACTGCAGATGATGAGGATGAGGGAGACGCAGTTGATGCAGAAACACCTGCTGCCTTTCTAAATCAGCATACTTCAATGGAAGCGATTGAGGCTAATCAAGATCTCCAGTTGAGTCAGGCAATTGATTCTGGACTCATAAGCCCTTATGATTGTTGTGGCAGCTCCGAAGGTCATTTGAACCGACATCAGTGTCTTCCTCTTGGCTGCACACTGATACGCATACCTGCCCATCGCCTTCTTTGCAAGACATCTGCTATTGGTAAGACTGACGTTTTGCCTCCTCTCGAAGTTGTAATTCGTGTGTCTCCAGGGGAAGATCCGGGCCCGCCTCTTGACACCGGAGTCTCACAGGTAACGTTGCTCTTAACACCAATGTACACTCTTTCTGCTTAATTATCGCAAACATCATCGTTTGGCATACTCATTCAACAAAAAACCTCTGATGTTGTTTTCATACCAATGGTGCTTAGTAGGAAACCCATGGCGAAGTCTTCGTTGCCAAAATAACC